GCCCCAGGTGTGCCCGTGTGCCACGGGAGCGCAAGTCTCGGTTCTCCCTGTTGGCAGCACCGGTGCTGTGTTCACTTCTCCTCCCACCGTGTCCGTGTGGATCACCTCTGGCCTGCTCCTCGCTGAGCTGACCCCTGCTGCCGGGCTGTGACCCAGGTGGAAGCTCGCTGGGGCGGAGGGCAGACAGCCGGTCACCTGGGCGGTGCTTCTCCGGCAGCTCCGTGCACACGAGACTGCAAAGAGCCAAGGGGTCGCATTTCCTTTCCATGACATGGACCTGCCCGGGGCTCTTGTGAAACCTCAGGAATTTTCTCATTTTCCTCCCCGGATTTGGGTATTTTGGGGAATGGTGTGCAGACTGAGTGGGTGCCGTTGTTCACAGTGGCTGGTGCTTTAGAAGCACTTCCTGTCAGTCCTGTGACCCCTCCAGCCGCTGGGTCATCCTGCGAGGTTGGGTTGCCGGCCAGGGTGCTGGAGCAGAGAGGCCAGGCCACCCACCCAGGCTGAGGCAGCTGGGGGGGGGGGGGGGGGGGGGGGAGCCGCCCGGGGGGGGCAGCCGGGGGGGGACAGCTGGGGTCTGCTGTGCTGTCCTCGGGGGAGGGCAGCTCTTCCGACCTGCTGCCTGGGGCTCCTGATGGCCTTAGGCTGGCCATCCAGGCTGTAGCTGGTCAGAGGCCTGGAGTCAGGCGGTGGTGGGGTGGGAGAGCCATCCAGGCCTGTCCTGGGGCTTTAGCTACAGGGTATTCAGAATGGAAAGTAATCCAAAAAAGGAATACCTAAATAAAGATGACATTGTGATTCTGAGGAGGGAGATCTCCCAACAGCAAAGAAGTGAGCTGGTGTCCTGGAAGGCACCCACTGGGGGACGGGGTTCTGACCTCCCTCAGCCGAGCCCTGGCTCTCATGTTGAAGTGCGCTTCTGAGTCGTTCCGGAGGGCTCACCTAAAATGCGTCCAGCCCAGAATGATGGCAGCCCTTACGCCTCCCCAGACCTCCACAGAAAAACCATGTGGCAGAACCCAGATCCCTTGGGCCACACTGATGACAATACTCCTTAGGTGTGAAGGTGCCCCCGTGACCCCAGAATGCAGTTGGATGGGGACAGACCAGTGGTCACAAGCCTGTGTGGTGTTGGCATTGTGCTGGAGGGAAGGAAGCAAGTAGGAGCCCCAAATAGCCCTCAGGGGTTCACTGGAAAGCTTGGGGGGTGGTCCCACTGAGACCGGCAGCTGAGATTGGATGTGTTCTGTCCAGACCGGGAGCAGGGAGCTCGGGGCCACAGGAAGGTCTGGGGCTGGAGCGGTCTGGGGGCCCATGCGTGGGCTCTGATGCCAACCAGGGAGAGCGTTCTGCCCACGGCAGGACCCACTCAGAACAAAACCTTCCGGAAGGGAACTCAAAACTGAGTGGAACCCCTGTCCTTGACCACAGGGAGGAAGGAAGGAGGAGGTACAGATAAAAACAGGGAGGCTGTGGAGCCAGGAGCCTGGGACAGTGTCACACACCCAGCAATGGTACGAGAACATCAGAGGAGGGAGCTCGGAGAACCTCGCCCCTTGGGAGTCGGGGGACCTTGCCTCCTGGAAATTGGGGACCTTGAGCCCCCAAAGTTGGGGAACCTTTCCGCACAAAAGCAACAGGAACAAACAGCATAACACTAGTGCCCCCCCACCCCAAAACTGTTAGAATAAAAGAGAAAATGGGCAGGTAATATCTCCCCGGATCGTGAGGCCAGTTGGAGATACACCGCCTGGTCGGAGAGGTGACAGCCCGTGGAAGAAGCACGAAATCAGAACAGTTCAGAAGTGAGGATGCAGGACTCAGCAGAAAATATGAGCAAAGTTGTTTCAAAATGAAAACGGAAGGAGAAAACCCAAGCGGGAATAAAAAGAACATTCCCTGAGAAAAGTTGGAGGTAAAAAGGAGGGATGTTTAAAATTAAAAAGAAATGAAGGTTAAAACGAAGTATAAAAAAAAAAATGAAGTCAGAATCCCAGCGCATGCCTGGGGAAGTCCTTGCAGAAATCCAAAGGAAAGGAAGAGAATAAACAAGCCAAGAAGACCTTCCTGAATTGTCAAAATTAGGTCTTAAAAGAGCAAGTCACAAATCTGAGAATATCTCCTCAGAGGTCACCGGAAGAAGCAAATCTTTGGGGCACCTAGGGGCAGTGCTTTAGGCCAGAAGACAGTAGGGCCATACTTATGGTTCCCAGGGAAAGAAAAGGCGAGCCGAGGGTCTCCTTAAAACTGACCTACAGATTGGAAGGGCAGAGGAGGAGCTCAGTCCACAGCGTTCTGGGCCCTTCCGGGGGATCTGTTAGCAGGCGAGCCTTGGACAGCCGCTGGCTGGAGAGAGACGGACAGCGAGCAGGGCCACGGGAGGTTGGGTAGAGGACAGGGGTGGCGCGCACAAGGCCATGCTTTGTGCTTTCAGAAGTTGTAATCGGCAGTGGTGGGCCAGCGTGGTTATCTCAACACCGGAACATGGGGTCAGCAAACGAATAATGGCGGGCTATTCAAATTCTCTTCTCCCTTTTGAAGAAGAGATGCAGACGTCCCAAAGAAAAGACTCAAGAAAAACCTGTAGGTCCAGATTTGTCTGGGAAGAAGTGTCGGTGTGAACTCAGCAGAATTTTACTGTAAGGAAAAAGAAAGCAGTGACCGTTTCCAGATTTGGGTCTTGAAGTACTTTCCACCAGAAGAAAACCAGGGCCTCCTGGAGAAACAGCAGTTGCACGTCTGGGCAGGACATGTAGATGTGCCTGGCGTCTCAGGAGGCTGGGGAGCAGGGAAGTTGCCAGGGCCCGCCAGGGTCGGGGCGCCTCCTTAGAGTGGCGGCAGGTGGGGTGGCAGCGGATGGCGACCCACCAAATACATGTAAATCCAGGAGTTCGTAGCGATGTTCAGAAAGGGGAGACTAGAGGATGATCGAAAACCAGTTAATCTGGTGAGGCGAGCGTGGACCCTGCCACAGCCACATGCAGCTGACCGTGGTTGACAGGGAGCGTGTGTGGGAAGCCTTCCAGCTGCCGGTGCCGCGGAGCAGCTCCGGGCCGCGCTCCCCGGTGAAGAGGTCGTGAGTGCCACAGAAAGGCGCCGAGGCCGCCATGTGCCTCTGGAGCAAGAGGGGGGTCTTGCCTTCAGGCCCGGCTGCTCTCCGAGGCACCCCCTGAACCTCATGCAGCAAGCGGGCAGAAGCCAGGGGGACTGGAGCAAGGCTCTTCCAGGTTGTACTGGAAGAGCAACCTGGAACGTTGTACCATTCAGTACAATGATTCATCTTCTGGTGCTGGGGTTCTGTGCTGTAAAGACCCGAGTTCCATAGCGCCTCCCTTACAGGACTTGGACGCATTGAGGCTTGTTGAGTGCGTGGCGCCCACCTGGGTGCATCCTAACGCCTCTTTGCATGTTTGTGAGCTACCCTGGGTCAGTGTGTGAGTGCTTTGGGCCTGGCTTATGCCCTGGTGAGGGAGGGAGGGAGTGGGGAAGCAGTGTTCCCAATGCATGCTTGGAAGGGAAGCTGCAGGCACACCGTGGAGGGCCATGCTGGCTGGTGGGCACTGTGGAGGAGTCCCGGCTGAGGCCCAGGCTCCGCTGGACGGGGGAGCAAGAGCCCTTGTTGCAGGTGCCCACAGGTCAGTCTCTGAGCTGGGCAGGTTGCCTGGGGGAGGCCAACGCTCACTTTCCCTGGGAGATGGCTCAGGGCCAGGTGTGGTGCAGACGTTGGACAGGCTTTGAGTCCTCACTTCACAGCCGGCAAAACCAGGGCTCCATGCTCCTCTGTCGTCTGCATGGGGCAGCAGGGATAGGGTCAAGGACGTCTGTCACAGAGGCTCCGGTATGCGGGGGTCGCACTCCCAGGTACTGGGGCAGGCGGGGTCCCATGCTGGCCCGTGATCCCATTAAGCGGTCCTGTTCCTCCTCCCTCTTCTCCACCTGCACCGGGATAGTCTTCCTGGAAGCCAGGTGCGATGCCGTTACTCCCGGGCTTGCCTTTGTTCCTGGGCCAGGGTGTGAGCTCCTCTCCCTGGACCCTCCCCGCCCCTGCCTGGTGCTTTGGGCTTCCAAGTGTCATTTCCTAGACTTCCATCCATGTTCGTTTATTGGATGCTGTTTATTTCCCAGACATTTCTGGAGTCCCTGCTACGTTCCAGGCATTGTCCCAGGTGTGGGGGAAGCGGCTGGGAAAGAAAAGTCTTGAGGGTGGGTGATGAATGACCACATGAACGTTCAGTACAATGTCAGGGAGTGAGCTCTGGGGAAAATACGGCGGGTAAGGAGGTGGAGAGACGGGCATCTGCGGAGGGCCAGGGTCGTGCAGAGGGCTTCGCACCGACCCGGCCTAGCCGCCCTCCCGGGCCACAGGGCGTCCTGAGAAGGCGCGCAGGTGAGGCTTTGCGCGTGCCCTGTGGCAGGTGGCAGAGCCCCGTCGAAGCTCCCGGCCCTCCGTCCTGGACCGGCCCTCTGTCGAGCCAGGGCTTCTCTGACTCTCCTCCCCTCCCACCTCTTGCCTTCTAGTGGACATCCTCATCATGGATGACGACGACGTCCCCAGCTGGCCCCCGACCAAGCTGTCCCCGCCCCAGTCAGCGCCCTCGGCCGGCCCCCCGCCCCGGCCGCGGCCACCGGCGCCCTACATCTGTAACGAGTGCGGCAAGAGCTTCAGCCACTGGTCCAAGCTGACGCGGCACCAGCGCACGCACACGGGCGAGCGGCCCAACGCCTGCGCCGACTGCGGCAAGACCTTCTCGCAGAGCTCGCACCTGGTGCAGCACCGGCGCATCCACACGGGCGAGAAGCCCTACGCCTGCTCCGAGTGCGGCAAGCGCTTCAGCTGGAGCTCCAACCTCATGCAGCACCAGCGCATCCACACGGGCGAGAAGCCCTACGCCTGCCCCGACTGCGGCCGCAGCTTCACGCAGAGCAAGAGTCTGGCCAAGCACCGGCGCTCGCACAGCGGCCTCAAGCCCTTCGTGTGCCCGCGCTGCGGCCGCGGTTTCAGCCAGCCCAAGAGCCTGGCGCGCCACCTGCGGCTGCACCCCGAGCTGTCGGGCCCCGGCGTGGCGGCCAAGGTGCTGGCGGCCAGTGTGCGCCGGGCCAAGGCGCCCGAGGAGGCGGCGGCGGCGGACGGCGAGATCGCCATCCCGGTGGGCGATGGCGAGGGCATCATCGTGGTGGGCGCGCCGGGCGAGGGGGCCGCGGCGGCCGCAGCCATGGCGGGCGCGGGGGCCAAGGCGCCGGGGCCCCGCTCGCGGCGCGCCCCGGCCCCCAAGCCGTACGTGTGCGTGGAGTGCGGGAAGGGCTTCGGGCACGGGGCGGGGCTCCTGGCCCACCAGCGTGCCCAGCACGGGGACGGGCTCGGGGCGGCGGGGGGCGAGGAGCCGGCGCATATCTGCGTGGAGTGCGGCGAGGGCTTCGTGCAGGGCGCCGCGCTGCGGAGACACAAGAAGGTGCACGCCGTGGGTGCGCCGTCGGTCTGCAGCCGCTGCGGACAGAGCTACTACCGGGCGGGCGGGGAGGACGGCGAGGACGACGACGACCCGGCGGCTGGCGGGCGCTGCAGCGAGTGCCGCGGCGGGGAGGGCCGGTAGGGGCGGAGGCCCGGGGGGGGGGCAGGGCCCCTCGGGCTTGGCGGGGACGATGGCGCAGGACCCGGAGACCGGAGAGAGACGGACAGAGGGGCGGCAAGGGCGGCGGAGGCCTCGTCTCCCTCCCCTGCCCCGCCCCGCCCCGCCCCGCCCGGTGGTCCGCGCTGTGCGCACGGCCGGCCCCGGGGCGCGAGGGCCCTCCCGCCCGCGCCCTGCGCCCTGCGCCCTGCAGCCTGCCCCAGCCTGGCCTGCCCCTCTGGCTCTCGGCGGCCCCGGGAGAGACCGTGCGTGGGAACTGGAGACCGAGGGAGGACGGGGCCCGCGGCCCAAGGAGCGGCCCCTGGTCCCTCTTTCTCTTGCCCCGCCGCCCGGAAGGCCGCGCCCTTCCGCTTCACAAGGGCCACGCGGAGCGAAGGGAGAGGGTCCTGTTCCCCTTAGAGTTTTCTTTGGATCACACCCGCCTCCTGACTCCGCCCTTCCATTATTTTGTCTCTACTTCCCCGCGGGTCCTGTTGTTCTTGGCCCTCGTCCTCCCCCCCCCCCATCCTGGGTTTGGGGTCGTGGAGCAGTGCTGGGGCAGGACTAGCCCCTGTTCCCAGCAGACCCTGCAGAGATGGGGTCCCGTCTATTCCCTGGCCTGGACGCGGCTGAAGGAGGGGTGCGGGGGCAATAAATCGCACTATCTGATTGTCCCTGCTCTGCGTGGTTCTTGAGTTGGGAGGGAGAAGGGCAAGAGCATGACTTGAGGGCTCCCCACCCCGCATCCCAGGGGGGACGGGCGAGGGCTGGGCCGTGGAGAGCTGCTGCTGAGTTGGTACCCTCCCAGGCCCCGGGTGTAGACTGGGCTGTCCTGAAGAGTGACCCGACCTAGCCACCTGCAGTGGGCCGTGGGCTTTCCAGGCAGAAGGTCACCGGACTTGGAATATTCCTGAGCTTGTGAGGAGCTAGGGCCGGTTCAGAGCAGGGCGTGCTTCTTGCAGCTTAGAGAAGGAATCCCACATCTCGGTGGGTTAACACAAGGCCGTTCCTCACTTGTGGGACAGTGACAGCAAACGACGTGCCCGTGCTCCCGACTGTGGCTTCCTCCCCCAGCACCTGAAGCCCCTTCCTGCATCTAGCTTCTTGGAAAACTTGGCCTGGAGGTGACCCGTCTTTCCCCTGCTCACATCTCGTGTGTGTGTGTGTGTGTGTGTGTGTGTGTGTGTGTGTGTGTGTGTAGCGGGGGGGGGCAGTCACAGGGTCACATCTCAGTGCAGAGGAGGCTGGAAATGTCCCTGTTCAGGCTACTATTTTCCAGTGGGGAGCTACACCATGGAGGAGGAAGAGGGACTTTGGTGGGTCCAAGTGGAGGAGCCAGCTGAGGAGCTCGTGGGATGAAGACAAGGATATTGACGGCTTATTGACAGCTTGGGGGCACTTCTATGTCCCAGGCACTGTGCTCTGTGCCTGACAGACACGGTCCTATAGAGTCATTGCAGTGGTCCTGTGAGGAGAGGCCCGCTAGTAGGTCGTTCGTCAGAATAGGCCTCCCCCGACCCCAGCCCCGATGCTGATTCCAGTTTCCTGGGACATACAGCCAGAGTCTGGGTGCCCATGTCCCTGGATTTGTGGGAGGCTGCAGTGGGCTGTCCTGGGGGAGAAAGGGCCCCACCAAGGGGTGTTTTCAGCTTGATGTCCCTTTTACCTCTGGGGAAGAGGAGTTTGCTGGCGTCAGGAAGTTGAAGGAGGAAGCGAGATTTCCAGCGTGAGCCCGGAATCTGGCACCTGGTGCTTCCCTGTCCTTGGGCAGGTCATGTTCCCCACTTCCCCCCCCGCCCCCCGGGCCTCAGGTCCTCATCCGGAGGATGAGGGGCTCAAAACCAAAGAAACAGGTGGCCACCTGGGGGGTGGGAGCCTGACTCCGGGGAGGATCTTTTAGACTCTCTCTGGTTGTGATTGTAGGTCAGAAAAACATGGTCTCAAGTGGCATTTCCTGCTTGGAAATTGGTTAATGTGGTTCAATTTGGTTTGAAACCTCAGATCGCTGTAAAGGGCTGGGGGTGGGGGGGTGAAGCTCTTGTTTGTCCAGAGAGGGCATGCATAAGCAGAGCCCTGAGAAAACATGGCCTCATGCCCTTGGGTCCTCTCTGTGAAGCGCTGACCTTGGACCCCGTGGGAGGTGGGGGCGGGAGGGTGAGGAGTTGCGGGAACATGAGTGGTGGCAGGTGGAAGGAAGCAGCTGGGCCTGACGCTCTCAGGCCTGCCTCTTCTGCTCCCCACCCCAGGAGGTCGGGAGGAGCTGACCCCTAGGCCTTGTGACCCTGGGCAAGTGAACTCTGACCCTCGGGTTCCTCTGCAAAGAGCTTGCCTGTCCCACTTGAAGGGATACCTGGGGCATCTGTCTGTGCCCCTCCGAGCCTCAGCTTACTTCACTTAACGCAGAACTCAGTGAGCCAACAGGACTGCGTACCATTAATATTAATATTACCATTATTGTCCCGATGCTTTCCAAGAAGACGAGTCACTGACTCACTGGAGTGAGACTAAATACATTTACCCACAATGTTAACAATGACACAGGATAATCATTCCCTGGGTTCACTTACTGTGCGTCGGGCACCCTTCTCAGCCCTGCCGTCCAAGACGCCGGTTCAGTGTTTCTTCATCCCAAGAGACCATGGATGCCCATATGGAGAACTAATGCGCTGCACAAAATAGATCAGGCCCTCTCAGCATCAGCACTATTGACATTTGGGGCTGGGTCACTCTGTGGTGGGTGCCGTCCCTGGCCGTCCCCGGTAGGGTGTTGAGCGGCATCCCACCCAATCAATGCCAGTAGCACCCTCCACCTGTGTCAGTCCAGCATGTCTCCAGACATTGCCAGATGTCCCCTGGGTGTGGGGCAAAGTCGCCCCTCGTTGAGAACCATTGAATGAAATTGAAGTCCCGCAGCCCTTAGCTTTTTCCTCTCACGGAGTCAGCATTCCCCCTTTCTTTCCTGCAGCCAACTCTGCCTTTCCTGGCTCTTCTACCGCGTGCTTGATGTCTTGGCTTCAGGTCTCGGTGGTGCCTGGTCTCCTGAAAAGTTCACCTGCAAGCTGCAAGCTTATGTTCTTGTGGGGTCCAGGCAGGGGATGGAAATGAGTGAGGGCCCTGGGAAGATGATCCCCCAGCCAGCACGAGCCCTGCAGAGTGTGGATGCGGCATTGCCTCACCTGATTTTCCAGGAGAGATCAGAATTAGGATTTTTAAAAATGGGAAACCCCCCATTTTTTTTTAATGTTAGCAACTAATTAAAAAAGAATTAAAGCCCAGTGTGAACCAATCCAAACATACCAGTGGCCGATTTGGGTTTAGGGGCTTCAGTTTCCAGTCCTCTCTTTAGCATCGATTTGAGAGAATTAAGTTCTCACCAAACACAAAACAAAACAACCCCCCAAACAAAGCAAAGGTAACTGTGAGAGGTGAAGGGTGTGTTAATTAGGGGGTGGGAACTTTGACAGTGTACACGTGTATCAAATTAAGATGCACACTTCAAATATCTTACAGTTTGTCAATTTTACCTCAAAGCTGGCAAAAAAAATTTTTTTAAAGGGGGAATTAAGGTTTTGGAGTCCCATATCAGTAACGTTTGTCTCCTTTTCATGATCTCGAGCCAGAATTTTAAGTTGGAACATATCACATAAAAGCATGGATTTCTGGCTTTTCTTGGAAGTTCTGCAACACTGGGTCTTCATGCCGCGTGGAGACAGTTGGCTGGAGGTGTTGGGTGTGTGCATTAGTGTGTGTGTGATAGTCCTTTGTACACCCAAAACCCAGGGGTAGGGACCTTTCTCATGCTTGGTCACAGGACTCCAAAGGAGGTCTTTACAGAGTACAGACCCAATACATTTTGGTTTCCTCTTGAGCTCGTACAGTTAGTTCTGGAGGTCAGAGATTTTGACTCTGGGCTAAACATTCTGAATTGCAACTGGGGAAGGCTGTGGTGGCCATGATGCCCAGGACTCTGCTTACTGAGCATTTCGGGTGATTTGGATGGCTGCCCTAGCGGGGAAGCTGCCTGCTCCAGAATAAACTCAGACCTTCTCCACTGGGAAGGAATATGTGCTCTGTGTTGGGGTCTGCTGTCCTTGAGCTTCGACGGGCATGCGGATGTGGAGGGGCCGTTGCCGACTGGGCAGATGCCTGGGGCCTGTCTTCTCATGCATCTTGCCATGTAGTCCTCGTGGTACGCCTACCCTGCAGCCTTTCACCCAGGACAAAGATGAAGTATTCGGGGGCATGTGAATTTGGGGGCCTTTCCAATCACATGAGCCCAGAGTGGTAGTGGTACTAAGAATCACGCTTGCTACCATGTATTTAGGACCCACTTGGGGGCAAGGCTGACTTCCTGTCCCTCACAGCTCAGTGCTCACAAAGGCCCATGGGGTTGGCATTAAGTTCTCCCTTGTTGGTGATGGAACTGCTACCAGATCATGGTTTGCAAAGTGGTAGAACTGAGATCTGAACCCAAAGCCCCAAACTTCACACTCCTACTGTGTCCACATCTACTTCCTTATTTGTGTTTATTGAGCACTTACTACTTGTCTGGGACCCTGCCAAGCACTGGGGACGCATCGCTGAACATAACAGGCACAGTCTGCCCCCTTGGAGCTACCCTCTAGTGTGTGTGTGCAGGGGTGGGGGTTGGGGAGTGACATGCAGGCGAGGATTGATGTGGAGAAAGCCCTGGGGTGGGGAAAGGGGAATGGGCGGTCGTCTGGAGAGGTGAGGTTGCAAGGAGTGGAAGTCAGACAGTCACGGGATGACTCCATCCAGCTTATTTCCCTGCTGTGAATGCAATTATCTGGGAATGTTGTGTTCCATGTATCCCCACGCCAGGACTGTTAAATGAACATTTATTAAGTTGAGCACAGATGGTGAGCTGTGGTTCAACAATAGACCACAAGAGAAACTGAAACAGGGAAGTTTATTACTTATGGGTCCCGGAGGAAGTACAGAGCATGCCTCAAGGGGCCACATGGGCAGGTCAAGGCAGAGTGCAGACAGAGTCAGGACCTGGAGCACTTGCCTTTCTTGGGGTCTGTGGGTGGAGTGCTCTGGGGTTCCCGGGCCAGGACTGGACTGGCCAATTCAAACCAAAAGAGTGGAGTTTTGGTGAGCCCCACAGGGGTCTTAACCAAGGGGTGTATGAGGGATATAAGTGCTGGGAGGCAGGGGAGACTTGCTCACAAGGGTGGTTGGGGGAGTCACCAGGAACTTGCCTTTGCTTGTGACTCTAAGGCATGTGCTGCAGGGAGGGGTGAGTGTCAGGTTCAGGCTCCCACAGGCCACCTGGCCACACAGAAGGGATGCTGAGGCAGCCATTTCCTGGAGTAGCTTAGCTAAGGTCTGGACACCACCTTTCCCAAAGTGTACCCTGGGGAAGGTAGGTTCCAGGGAATGTGCATAAGGTGTTTGGAGAAAACAGGATCCTGTGTTCATGGAATTCAGGAAAATGTTGTATTTGAACTTTTTTTTAAAGATTTATTTGTCTATTTGAGAGAGAGAGAGAGAGAGAGGTGGGGGAGGGGCAGAGAGAGAGGGAGAAGCAGACTCCCTGCAGATCGGAGAGCCCGCGGGGCTCAATCCCAGGACCCCAAGATCATGACTGAGCTGAAACCAAGTGTTGGGCACATAGTAGGTGCGAAATCAAGATTTTTTTCACTGAATA